CTTGAGAAGGTGAAGCGATGATATCTTGAATGAGAACACAGCGGTGTCCCATTTGTTCCAGTGGAAGTGGTTTTCAACCTGTTTTATCGAGTGTCGTTAAACCAAAGGCAAAGTAACTACTGTACAATTGGAATTCGATACGACAAGTAACTGAAATATTCATTTGATTGAAATGTTGTTATTTTTGTTTGAATTTTACAGGTATTTTCTAACAATACTGTTCAAGCAAAACATCGGAGCGATCTTGAGCGCTGGTTGAAGGATATCAAGGTATTGTAGCAATAAGGTCATCATAACAGTTATCGAATTTACTGGGATTAATTATTATCCCACGCGACCTGTTTTCCATTTCCACCACCACCACCACTACCATCATCATCATCATCATCATCATCTTCATCATATATCATCATCATCATCGTCGTCATCATCAATCATCATCATCCATCAATGATCAATCATCATCATCATCATCATCATCATCATCATCATCATCATCATCATCATCATCATCATCATCGTTATCACCATCACCATCGTCGTTGTCATCATTATCACTAACGACACTCCAGCTGAGTTTTGTTTAACGTCAAATCAAGGGGTTATCACCTTGTTCCAGAGATTCTTATTTAGGGCGTTTTCCCAACAGAACTTGTACAGTAGCAAGCGTCAGTTGACAGAGTGGAGCTGGGCCTTTCATTTTCTCACCACAGGACATCTCAAACGGAAACCCGCGGTCATCAGGTATCATTGCAATTGTATTTTGTACAGCATCATGGATACAATTTTGCTTCATAACTTTAGTTAAGAATTGTTGAACGGCACCCTGCGAGCAGAGGCCCTTTGATCCTCCTAGATAAGTGGTCGAAGGACCTCTGCTCGTGGGGTTGTTGAACGGTTACTTTGTAAAGAAACTGTGGTTGTTGAGTCGGTAAGGGAGGGAAACACAAACTCGTTGTTCAAAAGCCGAAGATTGTAGCGTTAGCCCTTAGACCGAATCGTAGGATTGAGGGTTACGTGCTACTTCAAGTAGCTTCTGGCAACACTATAAAGAGACTTCAGTAATTAGGTGTTGTAACTTTGCGATATGTTTTTACACGTTGCACCTTAAAGTAGTATTTAAAAATTATGCTATTACAGTTCAGTAAGAAGTGATTTTGGTTTCGTGGTTCCACAGGCAGTTGAAAAACAGCAATAGTCTTATGGCAGGGACTGTTCCCCATCACCAGTTGTTGAAAATACAGGCTGCTAATACTCCAGCTGCAAACAACCCCAGTGATAAACCGGCTCAGCAGCACACTGCAGCTCGAACACAATCTGGTTATAAGGTTGTGTCAACACCCAGCAACATTTCCAACGGCAAACAGGGTAGTGCGGTGCGAATACAGGCTTTGAACACCGCGTCTGTGGCTTCACCAAAGAAGAATGCCAGTGCTAAACCAGCTCAAGTTGTTAACATTGCTGGGTCCGCACCATGCAACACTTCATATGGGAAATCTCCTCAAGCTAATGGCAATGCGACATCAAAACAAGGTAACACTGCCGTGTCCACACCAACAACCAATGTCAATGGTAAAGCTGTTAATATGGCTCCATCGACACCGAACACTTCAAATGGTAAATGTGCTGCTGGAGGAAAGGCGACCTCAAAACAAGGAAACACTGTATCCACACCAACCAGCAATACTAATGCTAAAACTGTTAACATGGTCGGATCCACACCAAACACTTCAAATGGTAGATCGGCTCAAGTGAATCCTGCCCGTACATCTGTGAACATGGCCGCATCAACACGACAAAATGCGCCTGTTGCTCAACTTAGTGCAGTGAACCCAGTGCGTTCCAATACAGCCCGTATAGCCACACCTACAGGCACTAACCCTGGAAACAAAGTGCAAACACCAACAGTGTTATTACAGGTGGGTAACACAACGATGCCTACAGCTAACCCTAATGCCATGCCTCAGCAAGTTATCAGACTTCCTCCAAATTTTCTGGCCAATCTTACGGGCAATAACACTGTTCAAAATGTAGTAATAAGTAGAATGCCCGTCCCGCACGGTGCTAACGTTTCAAGTAGACCTGGCTCAGTGAGAAATACTGCACCATCACCTCGGCCCATCACAACTGTAGCATCTTCAGCGTCGAGTACATCTGGTTCAGTTCAAACGGCTTCCACTGCTGTGGCAACATCTTCATCAGCTGCGGCCAGTGCAAAGACTTCAAAAGGGTCACGAGCGTGATGTTCCTTCTGTTGCTATATTATGAACACTTGTTCAAATCTTTTTGTATGTGACATCTTTGGCAGGAGGGGGATGATCCGTTCTATCGTTCACTTTTTTATCACAGATTGTTGAACTTATGGTTCTGTGTCATTACTATCAAACTCTTTCCTATCACTGTTTTAAAAAGCGGGGTCGTAAATCATTTCTGGTGGACATATCTGCCACCATGAGTTTTTTTCCCATTTCTCTTTTGTTTTCTTTCTTTTTTCTTTTCAGCACAGTTCATCGAGTCGTCTTATTTTAGAGCCTTGAAAGTAGGATAAGTGAAAGGAAGGCAAAGCATAGTTTTATTGTTACGGATTAACTGGTTTTAAGTTGAATCGCGAAAGGAATTGGGGTAAATTTAGGTTTCTGGGAAACTACTCACCTCCCCCTCCCTTAAGCTAACATTAACACTTGCTTCTTATCTAGGGCAAAATGTTAGCTTAGGGGAGGGGTAGGTGAGCAGTTTTCCAGAAACCTAAATTGAACGCGAAAGGAATTGGGATCAATTTAGGTTTCTGCGAAACTACTCACCTACCCCTCCCTTAAGCTAACATTAACACTTCCTTCTTATGTAGGGCAAAATGTTAGCTTAGGGGAGGGGTAGGTGAGCAGTTTCCAAGAAACCTAAATGATTAATTATGCTGAAGCTACTTCAATTTTTTTAGTATTGTTTAAATACCTCCAAGAAGAAGAGCACAAGTTTGCTTAAAATTTTATGAGATGATATATTTTTGAGTAGAAGATATAATTATTGCTTATTTTTCAAAGGGACATAATTATATCAGACTTAAAGACTAGAGTTAAAGTTCAAGTAAGAGGAAGTCTTTGTTAAAGAAACGGAAATTTAATCACTTGAGGGCATTAACGACAACTTAGATGATACGAAAGAACTTTCTATTTACAAACATTTTTCAGGTTGAAGTTTCTCTTACACTCCTCAATTAAACAACTGTTAATGCGTTTCACAGTAATTATATAGCTGCCGGGTATATTTTTAAGTCTTTCTGTCAAAAAGGTTGACAGCTTCAATAAATTGTTGTTCCGTTCTTGTCACTTTCATGTTCCAATGTGAGATTATTTCGCCGTAAGCATCATTTGTTTACCAGCCTCATTTGCAGGTGGCCTTTCTAGATTTTGCGCAGCGCGCGGAGGTAAATGGGAAGCATTTTCAGTTTCCCACGACAGCAGTACTCTTTCTACTATCTATTATGCTGTATGCGAGACTTAATGACTTCTTGTAATGTTTTTTCTTTTCTTACCAGCTACATGGGAGGGAGGCAGTTCATTTAGTCTTTTTTGCTGTTTTCATTTGCGCGAGCTTAAGACAAGGACACGAATAGACCTTTGACAATTGTTGGTCAACTGATTAACGTTCTTTAAACACGAAAACTATTTTTTTGGAAAGAGGATTTTAGCAGCAACCGAAAGCGCATAAAATAAGAAAATATTCAACCGTATATCTCAAAAATGGCGATTGCAACGGCCAAAAATTAGAAGGATTTGTATGGGAAAAACAACTCTTACCACCCAATCACGATTGGGAAGATCTCCATTTATATCCTTCTAAATTTTGTTTACCGTATTTATTCGAATAAGCGCGCAACCTCGAATTAGCGCCTACCTCGAATAAGCGCCCATCCTAACATCAGAAAAAGTTAATAAGCGCCCAGCCTCGAATAAGCGGCCACCCCCACCCAACCCCTCTCACTCAAACTCGAATAAGAAATAATAAGATACTCTCCCGAAGACGGAGTTTTGTTTTTCAGAGTATTTTACAGAAACCTTGCTTTGTTAAATCTTTGTGTTTTGTTATTACCATTTATTGTTTTGTTGCAAAATAAACGTACTGCACTTGCTGAAAATGGTGAAAATTTAATAAGCGCCCAGCCTCGAATTATCCCCCACCTCGAATTGGCGCCCACTCTCAAGATCCAAAAATGTAATAAGCGTCCTGGTCCAGGGCGTTTAATCGAATAAATACGGTAATTTTTTTTTCCATACAAATGCCCCAATTTCTTTCCGCATTACGTAGCTCAAATTTTCTTTCTTAATTTGTTTCTCCTTTTTTTTGTTTTATTATCATAATTCGCCCCTTTAGGAGAGAGAAGGAAATTGGTGCTGAAATTCGTTTCGCAATTGTTCCTGGGATCGTTACTGGGCACGCGCCGGTCAGCTATTGGCCAATTTTTTCCCTGTCCCTAGTAACAATCCCAGAAGTCTTTGCGAAAGTAAACTCGGTCCAGTTTTCCTCTCCTTTCGAAAGTGGCGAAGAGTTACGCGTCGGTGAAACAGTCCCATGAAGCAGTTTGATACGATACCGACCCAGTCTCTTCCGCAACCAGCCAGTGAGGCATTGGATAACTCCTGACGTGACGAACGGCTGCAAAGCAGTTTTACCTTGCCTAGTCCCTGTATGGCAAGTTTTAACTTTAACGAACAAAACAATGCCCCAATAAGGTTTCACTAACACATTTCCACGTAGATGCGACCAATAGCGTCCTGCCGCATAAGTCGCGCAATTGAATCAACGTACGTGAGTGTAACACCATGTCACGCAGTATGTAGTATTTGTATTCCACAATAGAATTACCCAATATCATTGTCTGTTAAAAATATCGAGTACCGATAACGCAACAGGAATGGTGGCAGACACCGCAGGCATGTCCCTGGGGAATAGGAAATTTACCCAGGGATGGTTCCATGGCCGAAGAAACAAACCCAGCAGTTATTTCACCCCGGAAGTCCGACTGTCTTGTGTGGGTTGACTTCAAAGGATGCCTCGATATTCCAGGGATTGCTCACGGTGTGGTCAGTTTCGTGAGCGAATCCTTTCTCGATCAACACTTTGTTGATGTGAATTTCTTCATCGCCTTCTGTGTCCCAAAGATCAACATAAACGGTCTGATTCCACGCCCTAAAAGAGCAAGGCCAGTTTGAAATTATGTACTTATTCCGGGTGCATACAAAGCCAGTTTTACAGCTTGCCATTTAGGCAAGCTGTAGTTACCATGTACTAGCCCAAAGGTCGTTTGAATTAGTTCGTTTTAACTTGCGGCGGGATTAGCTCAGTCGGTGGAGCGCTTGACTGCTAAGCGGGAGATCGCGGGGTCGATTCCCGGGACCGGACCAACACTCAGGGTCTTAAAATAACTGAGAAATGAACTAAGGTACTCCCTTTGCCCTGCAAACGGCTGGACCTTCGCGTGGCTCGGATGACCACGTGAAATGGTAGTCCCGTCTCCAGTAGGAGACGTAAAAAATAGTGTCCCCAATTAGTACCTTCGTGCTAAATACAGTGACATTGAAAGAGATTATTTTTTACCTAGAAACAAATATTTTGTTGATCGGGATTGATAAAAGCTCTTCTGTAATTAGAATTTCCCCCAAAAACTTCAGTTGCCAGTCGTGCAATATAATTGACTAGCCCGATAGCAAAATCCACTAGCCCGTGGGTTATGGGACACGACTTTCTTTGCACGCTGCTTCTTAAATATTGGGAAATTCAAATGAGCTAAAACTTGTCTTCGCGTCAATTGAATTTTAAAAATAATGGTCCAATTTTGTTATTTCAGAGTATATTTAGGCATTGAAACTGTTTCCTGTCGTTTGTCGCTTCGGATGGCAAGGATGCACATATATTGAAACTTGAAAAAGTTGGCTACTATGCCTGCAAAAATCACCAAATAAATTTTTTGGTTAGTACACTGCATTCCCTGACGAAATTTGTGTGATACCTTCTTTACAGCTGAGCTCCACGCGCGTGCGAAGCCCCATAGCGAAGTAAATCTACGCATCCTAGAAAATTTGGTAATCACGTGACCGTACACATATGAACTTTACAGGAGCATTTTCTGTATGGGTAAAGGTACTAAGTAATGACTTAGCACAGAATTTACCTAAAACAACAATATCCTCGTTGCATAACCCCTTTCCCCGTCCCTCAAGTTCTTCGCCCTTACCTGAGCAACCTGTTTTAGACCCTCAGATACTGAGCTTGTGTGCAGAAAAGGAGAACTCTACAGATGACAGGCATTCGTGATGCCCTGTGTTCGTAGTTCTCACACCCTTTTCAGACCGACTACATTCAAGATTTACTATTGGCGCGGCAGAAGGGGTATTTTCTAGAACGCCGAATGGCCGCCAAAAGCTCAATGACTCTGAAGTTTAGTGATGAGGGTTAGGAAATTGAATGAATCAGGGTTCCATTTAGGGACAAATATGACCAAGGCTTCATTCACTCAGTTTCCTGACCCTAATCACTAAACGTCAAAGTCATTCGCTGTTCGGTGGCCGTTCGGCGTTCTGCAAAATACCCCTGCCGTTTGCCCTACGGACTTACTTAGAGAGAACGTGCGCAATGAGCGTCTTGTCCTCGGTGAGAGATGAAAATGTTTTCCTGAAAAAATATAATAATAGAAATATATAAATTAATTAATTAATATACAATATAGAGGCACACTCATGAATAATATTCTTTCTTTAACTACATATACATGTATATAAATGTCAATTACCGTTTTACTCAAGCACCATGCAATAAGAGGTGTACGGATGTGAACTGTTTTTCACAACTGTTTAATAGTTTTGACGAAGAATGTAGTTATAAGACTAGCACATTCACTCACATAGCGTCTTCAGACCAGTCGAGTTTCTTTCCATTTTTTTGATGATTGTAGGTGGGCTCCACGTTTCCAAGGAAACATTCAAGCGCTTGAAATGGAAGATGCAGAAAATGCGGGAGCATACGCTTCACGTGATTTTCACGTGTCCACTCTGAATTTCCATAGTCCACGAAAAAGACCTGATGAAGAAAGGTAATTTTGATTAAAACAAATTGAAAAACAAACAAACAAAGAAACAACAACAGCAACAAACAACAAAGTAATGCGTTGTGCTAATTAAAAGCATAAACCATTGAAATAGTCACTTTGGATCCCATGCAAACTACTGAAGATTTAAAATATCGCAACCCCGCGCGCCCCCAAACTAGGGGCCCGTTTCTGGACAGACCCGGGGGGTTTTTTTCTCTCTCTCTTTTTTTCTATTCCCGGAAAAATCTCAACCATAAACGTTTGGGTTCTAGCTAACATAAGTCTTTTTTTTGGTGAACTAATAGTTTTATATTGTCAGCCAAACTATTTACAGCGGTCTTGCCCAAGTGACTATATAAGACACATACGCCATGCATTCATAGACACACAGGTCTCATCATGGCTTCATTAAACGTGCTGGGGGACTGTACACAGGCTAGTCTCAGACGGATAATCCATTTCTAGCTCTAGTGTGAAAACGGCCTCATTATTCCGCGCGGCTAATGCGTTTCGGATCACGTGGTCCGAGCGAGTTCGCCACCGAAATGTCTGACCGAAATTGCGTGGGAAGACGCCGCACAGGGACTAGGCATGGCAATGTCTACCATAGCGTCAGAGAAAAACAGGGAAATGTTGTTTATCGGCAACGTGTTTTACAAACAGTGACATCGCTGCGTGTTGTTTCGCTTGTATTTCGAGGGCACGACTTCCTGAAAATCGCCAATATTAATCCCCAGCAGGAAGCCACACTTTCGCTATGGAAAAAAATTAGTTCCCCGAGGGAGCGGCGGAAATGGAGCTTAGGTCTTTGTCAACACCTAAAAGGCGCTTCGCCTAACGTGCGAGTCACACTAGCCGGGGATTGGAAAAAGGCAACCTTAAGTGAGTTTAGTACCTTCCCTAAAAGTAGCAAACCTAGGGAGCAATTTCTTTTACGGTTAACTCTTTGTTACCCTATTTACGGCTAACGGTTAAAATTTTTCAGTTTTTACGGCTATCGACTAAATTTTTGGTCGTTTTACCCCTATCGGTTAACCCCATTGAGACCCTCTTCCAAATAAATCTGCTTTGTGGCTCCAGAGCAGAAGTTGTTTTAACGGAATTTCTTTGTTCCCTGATTCTGTCGCGCGTGTTTATAACTAAGGGCTAAATTTCGCTAAATTTTTATTACCCCCTGGTTTTGTTCACTCTTGAAAAGACAGGTTTAACTCTCGAAAAAAGGGCCCCTAGTATGGGTGGAAAGTTTCACAGCAACAGTATACACTATAAATTTATGAAGCAGGTTTTATTGTTGATAATTATATGTGATAATCTTTGGGACACGAAGGATTACTGGGATAAGGATCGTCAATTCCAAATCTATTTAAGACATCTCCGTCATACCAGTCAACGAATGCTTGTGCCATTGTAATGTTACGTACCCGAATATTGGTCCATAAATCATTCATAACAGTTTGAGTGTGAACAAAACATGCATCAGCAAAAACTGCTGTTGCGTCTGCGTTGAAAACTGAGCGCAAAGCTTGTAACGTTTTATCACGAAAACTCATAATGTATGATAACTCCGAGGTGTTACAAGTGTCCAGTTTTAGAACGCAAGGAACATTAGACAAGAAGGCGATCTGCCATAAATCGTACAAGGAATTAACTAGAAAAATCGGTGACGAGAGAAAGGGAATCAAATACTGCGGGAAAAAGCATCGCCATTCTTGTTTCCACTTTTGCGCGCGAACACAGCCGCGGTTAAAACTCATAGAAGAATTATGCAACGAATACGCCTGACGAAATACGGACTGAATTATTTCGCTTCCATTAAGAGATGGTGCATCCACGAAGAATCCCGCGTCTGAAAGCACACGGAAAGAAGCGTTTGTTGCGCGTTGAAAACGCTTTCGAATGTAATCGGAGTGTATCATCGCCGTAAGAGCGCCGGCTGAGCGACCGCCCACGATGATCTCGGAAGCGTGATTGATTCCTCTTCGTAAAAACTCGTCAAGAACTGCGTCAAGTATTCGTCGCCCTCGGAAATAGAGCTTTCTGTTGTTGACTTCGAGAGGGTGGGCGCGATCTCCGGTGAAAGAAGCTCCGTCACAGTAACGAATAAACACAGACGTCCAGGTATAGAAATCAGGATTGTGACAGGCCCGATTAGAGAGCAAACCTTCGAGACGAAGATACCGGGGGAAACATTTAGACGAGCCAAGCTCTGTGTTAGAGCGTTCGTAGCACGTGTCGGGATCATGACACCAAGCCCCAGGGAGCTTTTTATATTAGGTGAAACTAAACAGGTGCGGACAAGGTAACGCTTCCATATAAGGTCCCCCCCTTGGTAGATCTGTTTGGCGAGGGATGGAGGTCGCACTTGTTATAAGGTGAAGTTCGTGAAGACCACCACCACCGCTGGAATCCATAAATAGACCTGAACTAGTTTTACTTGTGAGAATATATCGTTCTAATAGCGTCAAAACATCTCCCCTCTCCCTGAATACCGTCATATTTTTTCCATTCAGTTCCTTCATTGTTGTATTGTGGGGCTTTGTTTCATCTAATTGATCACTGCTGTAAACACACGAATCATTTAGGATGTCTTTAAAGTTCCACCCAGCAAATTGTCGAAAAGTCCACGATGAAGGATTCAAAGAAATATTTCCAGCAAATGCTTCGCATTTGAAGGTATTAAGTAAAAACGCGAGAAAATAAACAAAATTCATCACCTATCGCAACAATGACCGTGTTTCTCCTTCGCAGAAGTTATTAAAGCTGGCATCAAATACCTGTGTTAACAAGTCAGCGAAGAATAGTACCACCCGCTATTTGGTGTGGGAAAAGGCTATTCAGACCAGGATTATGTCTAAGTTAATTTCGTCTTTTTGTCTGTTTGTTTATTTTTTTTAAGCCAGGTGTGAGCAACTTTACAGATTTAAGAACAAAGCTCGGGATTGCAGATGTTGTAAGTTGTTCTCAAATTTTGAATTTGAACGCTGATTTTAAGCGAACAACGGCATTAAAAAAAAAAAAAATCAAGGGTAGTTACTTTGTAGACCGAGGTGCAAGAGAAAGAGTTTGGGCTCGAAAGAAATGGTAAGAGTTTGTACTATCGGGATGTAACAATAGACCCTTGGCACCAAGGTTTAATGTAATACCAGGATGCTAGGATAATAATACCCGGATGTCCGTGAGTGGATACAAAGCAAAGCGACTGTTCAGTCTCCCATATTTCCATGCGATCGTTAACTTCGAGAGTCCGCCCTCTTGGACGAATACAAGCTGTCCTTGTATTCTACCCAGTCTTCTCTCGTCACATGAAACTCAAAATGGCGTTCAATCCAACTCGGCAATCAATCTTAGGGACCGCGCAGAAAATAAGGATATCGTAAACAGTCAGAAAGCACATAAGTAAATAGTTTAAGTACGAACTCGGAGCAAAAATATTCGAGAAGCAAAAAATATCACCGTTATTTCGAAGTCTTCCTCAAGCGCGTGATCTTGCTTTATCAGTCACGTGACAATCACCCACGTGACTTTTCCAACGCGACTTATACAAGTAGTGGATTCAGGCCCCCATCCCCATTCTTAATAAGTACTGCCTCCTTAACCCGCCTTTTGTCCTCCTGGGCCCAGTTGTTCGAAAGCCGATTAGCGCTTAACCCGGGGTTAAATTTAACCCGGATTTCTTTTTATTGTGTTTGAAAGCATTTTCTCGGATAATTTTCTGTGCTATTTTTAGAGCTTCCAATCATCAATTTGTAGACAAAAAGAATTAAAACTGAAATGCTTTTTACGCTTTCAAATCTGAATTCAAATCTCGCACTAACCCTGGGTTATCTTAACCCAGCTTTGAACAACTCGGCCCTGGTCTTAAAGGAAAGTCGATTTAAACATTAAAACACTTCAAGTGTCCGGTGGCTCCATAATTGTTAATCCCAGTAAAAAGTAATCTTGTCAAAGATTATTAGTTACTTGTATTCTTACTAGCAGTTGTGTTGTTTCCCAAATTACCTGTAAATTAGTCTTTTGTTAAACTCTGTCACTTTTTCAAGTTATTCTTACATGAATGTTTTGTATTCATGCATAAATTTAACTATTTTAGACTTCCTTGATAGCGTAGAAATAGCGTTTTTCCTCTTCTCCCTTTTTTTTTCTTTTTGTTTTTATGTGTGCATTTGTGCTTCAGTTTTCTTGCCGACCTCTAATTTTATTTTATTTTATGCTGATGTCAACTGGCTGCCTGGCTCCGGTAGCCCCCATGGTTATTCCAGGCAGCCAGTACTCTAATTTTTACTTTTAATATTGTCATTGTCATAATTTATTTTTGAGCAAGAGTGAGTACAAACAAAGATTGTTGTTGTTCTTGTTGTCCTACCTGTAGCTCATCCTCCCGCACGCTCGTGATTCGCGCTCTGTACCATTTGTTGTCTTTGGAGTATTTAGCGGCGCACAGTTCGCCAGCCGCAGGCAGGATGCGTCTGGGATCCTGACAAACGTTACGAGAATAAAACTTCCTGCAAAAAGAATGGAAGTTGAACAGTTCACTTTTCTAAGTAGTAGAGAAGCGCGCCAGCCGCGGTCAGAATGTACCAAACACATTATTAAAAAAAAAAAAGGAGGAAAAAAAGAAGTCCAAGACGGGCTAAAACAACAACACTTTAATAGTTTAGAGTAAACAAGAATTCAAATCCCAGGATAGAAAAACTTATTAGCATACACGAGCTTTTCATTCCATCGTGGAATCTTTTTCACGTGATGGAGTTGGACGGTTTGTCACGTGATTTATACTGTGAATCAAGTGACAAAACGTCCTGGTAGATGGCGGCGACCTTGTAACTGGCGTCCCTGTTTAATGTTGGAGCCAGAGAAAATATTTGAAACCTCGTTTACTCTAAATGTCATCATGACATAATAAAGCCACTCTTTCTTCGCTAATATATTAATAATTATTTTTTCCCCTTAAAACAATGGGTCGTCTTTTAGGTTAAGCGAGAGTTTGCTTCGGTGCTGTATAGAATTGCTGTATAGGGCAGCTTTAGGGACACTTCCACCTCTTTGATTGGCTGTTAAGAGGTTGCAAAGGATACTGGGTCAAAATTTGCGTGTCAAAACAATCCCATAATGCAATTCGACAAAACACCACTCAGTCTCAAATACAACCTTAAAATGAATTATTGAATAAAATGAAACACATTAAGTTTCAAGAGTGAAAAATTCCGCACCAAACCGAAGTGAAATAGGCCATTTGCACTATGGCGTCATTTTACTTCTACGACCAGAATCCTTTTGTTTTCATTCATATTTAAATTTGGTCATCCAAGGGCCGTTTAAATAATAAAAACCTTAATTTGCACAAGAAAGCAAAACTCCTAAAGGATTCTGGTCGTAGTAGTAAAATGACATCATCGTGCAAATGGCCCCTTATACCGCAGTGAATCTCGTAGCGCGGTAAACCGTGTCACCTCTAAAATGCACATGAAGTTATATCATTTAGAGATTCTGTACCCCATTTTGTCCATCAGAGTATTGAGGTCTTCCTCTGGTTTCTCCTGCTCGTCCTCTGAATCAGAATTAAGTCGGTGACGCGTCCTCGCTTAAAAGGAGATAAGTAAACATAATAGATGCAGAGTACCGTAAAATTCCGAAAATATGTCCCTCCATGTATACGCCCCTCCAAATATAAGCCCAACAAACTCATAACGCAAAAACACCCTCCGTCAAATCGCCCCTCCAAATATAAGCCCCCCAGGGGCTTGTACTTGGAAATTGCCCTCAAATACAAAANTAAAATGACATCATCGTGCAAATGGCCCCTTATACCGCAGTGAATCTCGTAGCGCGGTAAACCGTGTCACCTCTAAAATGCACATGAAGTTATATCATTTAGAGATTCTGTACCCCATTTTGTCCATCAGAGTATTGAGGTCTTCCTCTGGTTTCTCCTGCTCGTCCTCTGAATCAGAATTAAGTCGGTGACGCGTCCTCGCTTAAAAGGAGATAAGTAAACATAATAGATGCAGAGTACCGTAAAATTCCGAAAATATGTCCCTCCATGTATACGCCCCTCCAAATATAAGCCCAACAAACTCATAACGCAAAAACACCCTCCGTCAAATCGCCCCTCCAAATATAAGCCCCCCAGGGGCTTGTACTTGGAAATTGCCCTCAAATACAAAATAAGCAAAAACGGTAAATTTCCTTCTAACTATAATGCTAGCCCAATCAATTTTGAAATGCAAATTGCCCTCCATCGATAAGCCCCTCCGAATACAAGCCCCTCTAAAAATAAGCCCCTCAAAAAGGGCCTTTGAAAAATATAAGCCCCGGGGCTTATTTTCGGACTTCTACGGTAGATTAGAAAAACTGGGGAAAGAAGAAACAGACAAACACATTTATAGGGAGATACATACTAATCTCTAGCTTTCACGCTTAAGAGTTTCATTCATAAGCCTGGTTTGTATAGTATTCGTCTGGATCGTTTAAACTTTTTTTGAGAGGGGAGGAGAAGGACGACTGGGATATCTCAAAAGTGACCAACATTAATTTTCTCCTTGCATAAGAAAAATACTTTGATGTTTTATCAAATTCTCTCGACTAATTATTTAAGGAAATATACGGAAATACGTGCGGAGAATTATGTGGATATTGAAGGGTGTAGAAATCATTATTCAGTAGCTTATTTGATGGGGTGTACTTCAGTTGACTGAAGGAGAATATCTACAGACTCAAAAATTAGAAGCACATCACATAAGAAAGAAGTCGTCTGTCTGGCGGCTTACCTGCCATAATACTCTTTTCTATTGGTTCAGTACCATACGGAAATTGTACCCAAAAATGTCCCGGATTGAAGACTGCCGTGACTCGAACTGCTACCCACGTGCCGATGTCCGGTAGCGTGACAGACGAGTCCATATTGTCACAAAACACTTCCACCATTTCATGTAAATCCTCACCTGTTAGAAACGCAAAGGAGATACTATAATAGTATAATACAAAAAAAGGACGTAATTCCTATTAGTTATTTACAGATGGTAAAACGATTCAGCGTGAACTATAAAGAACATGACGCTCGCAGGAGGTTTCATGAGCAAGAAGAAAGCGTGAGAGGACTTGGAATGGATAGCCGACAGCGCGCTAGGGGCTCTACCTTATTTCCTTCGACGCCATTACTTTTAAACGATAGGTGTTATCATTGGCAACCAGCCACACTAAGCTCATGATTATCCTACAATTCTGTAGTCATTTTTTTTTTTCCTCGCGGCGTCGACGCTCGTATCTTCGTCCATCAAATTAAGATGTGTCAGACCCGAAGCGTCCGCCGCACGCGAGAAAAAAAAATTCCTCCACCGGGTACCCAGGGTAAGGTAGAACACAAAGATCAACTATTGTTTAATAACAATAGTCTATTGTTAAGGGACAATACTTAGAACATGTATATGCATACCGTATCTTAAGAGGTCTTCGTAACTCCCCCAGCACCCACATACACACCCAGCCCATCCAAGGTTGATTTTGTGTTGCCAGTAACCATTCCAAACGGCGAATTTATCTCATTCGCTCTTCACAGTGATTTGTAATAAAAGAATTATAGTCTCAGTAGCTTGTCTACCTTTCTTCACATGTAGATTAGGGCACTGGTCGCCTCGCCAACAACCCGAGCGAGTGCGAAAGTAACGGCATACTCTTCTGCTCAAATCCTCTAAAGTGAAAACAAATATTAAGAAACGATCCATAAGTACATAAATTAATATTGGAGACCACAAGTACTACGTGACAGCAGGGTCTGATATTTGATATCGGCTAATTGATAAAAAAAAATTCAACCCCTCACTCCCAACAAAAAGGTACTCGGAGAATCGGTGAGTGTGCTGGCGAAAGACAAACAAACGAACAAACAAAACAAATAGAATGAATGAGTGAATAAATAAATGCTTCAATTCTGGTTGGAGTAATCGTTTTTTTTTTTTAATACAATATTGGAATCTAACAGATAATGTGACTCCAGTCTAAATCTAACTGAGCCCCTACACGGTTCGTACAGATTTTTTGATCCAAAATGCAAAACTTTATCCAAAACAACACTATATTTTTCCAGATTCAGGGTTAACAAATAGGTGATCAATAGAGACCTTGGAAAACTCATGAAACTCCAGACTTTATCTCTATTTAAAGACTTTTTCCATGTCTGGAAAATTGCTGGGCAAAATTGAAGACTTTTTCAAGAATTCAAGACTTTGCACAAGCCCTGGCCCCATATTCCCAACTGTCAGTCCTCCTCAGAGCAGTTCCTGGGTTAGTCACGCAACGCTTCTCCCGGAAGGAATTTTGGGAAAAACGTTGCGTGAGGAGAGCTGTCTACGTCTCGCCACGCAACACTCCTCTCCAAAGGATCCTTGGGAAGAAGTGTTACGTGACAAGACGAAAAACGGCAGCGTGGAAGACTTCGCTCGCCATGCTAAAAATGGTGCTTCGCGCGCTTTTCTTTAATACATACGGTATCCTTGAAATGCAATGTCCAGATCATCTGGGTTTACAGCATAGGTATTTTTAGAAGAAAGAAAATCTTCCTTCATTGGATCCCAGCCATGCAGCGGACTTGTGGGGCTTGTTGGAGACACAAAGCCATCAATGTTGATTGGCTCCTCGGGAGATGAATCTGAAAATGAGTTAGAATACAGTCAAACCTCCCGTAAGCGACCACTCAAAAGGCGAAGATTTAGTGGTCGTTTACGGAAGGTGGTCGTTTACAAGGATCAAACTAAAGATGTCTTTTTCGAGGAAGTCTCGACTCATTACTCTTTGCCAGAAAATTTATTACTTGTAGTTTGTAAGTTTCGCATACGTGTAGTTCCATGTTGTCACTAGAAGTTTTATATACTCTGAGTAGTGTGGTACAAAGAGCGAGCAAAGAGACCACACCATGTGTCAAGTCAAGTGGTGGCTTACAATGAAAATCTATAAAACCGTCGGGCCAAGAGGTGGTCGCGGTTGCTTATGAGAGGTTCTTATTATAAGGCTTTGACTGGAAATATTTTCATCGAGTGGTCGCATATGGGAGGTGGTCGCTTACGAGAGATAGTCGCACATGGAGGTTCGACTCGTGTATTGATATGTGAAATAACAAAATGATCTGTGAATGCCATCCACACTGTTGCCTCTTAATTCATAAAAAAAGGGACAATGAAAAAGAATATAGGAATACCTTTTTGCTCCATACATAAGGCAGTGTTTTCCAAATCCTCTTGAGAGACTTTCATGGTTATAATGTCTGTTACTGCTTCAAAAAAGGCAAAACGAATAAAAAGTATTGCTTTTTCCTTTCGTTTACTGGTTAAAGGAAATATAAATACCAAAATAGACCCCGACTCCCACCCCGAACACAAATTGCAAGGCTCGTAAAAAGACCTGTCCGATAGTCCAGATCTTTTTGCTGGGCAAGTAACTTTTAAAGCTTACTTAACCAATGGGCAAGTGTCCAGGCAGGTCAACCCCTAACAAAATCATTAACTACGATGAGCAAGAAATTACCCCGGGCAAGCAAAATGCGAGAGCTACTTGCTCAAAGGATAGGCTTGAATCAGGATTCGTACAGATTCTCGATCCAAAATTCCAGACTTTTTCTACACTTTTTCCAAACTAATTTCTTTTTCTAGACTCAGGGTTATCAAATAGGTGATCAACAAAGACTTTAAAAAAAAAGCATGAACAAAGCTTTTTCCATGACGTGTAGGCGAGATTGAATAAGATTTGACCAAAACGAAAAAAATTTCACTTGTGAAGCACTTGTTGTAGCTTTCAAAAAATTACCATTTTTTCAAGACTTTACCTCTATTTTTCGGAGTCTGGAAAATTGCTGTGTAAATTTCAAGACTTTTTCAAGAATTTAAAACTCTGTACGAACCCTCTTGAGTCAAGTTTTTTTCGAGCCCTGAAATTCACGTGATAAGCGACGTTTTCGTTGCCGTCGACGTCATGGTTGCTTAAGCTCCCTCATAACGAGAGAGGTAGACACGTGACAAACGCCCGGTAATAAAATAGACTGGTATTTTAGAACATGAACTAATCGAGTGTAAAGAATTTCACCTGTTTCTAGCTGTGAATTTTCACTGAAAACAGCAATCCCCGTGTCTACGAGAACTTGATTAATAAAAATGTCCTCATCACCCGTTGTGTCGAACAAATCCAGATTTAAGACCGGCTTCCTGTAGGTTATGTCAACCTGTAGAGGAAAGGAACAATGGAAACTAATTGTAAAGAGTGAGGGTTCATATAATCCAAAATGTATACACTCAAACCCCGTCAATACGGCTACTGAGGGGGCCATAGA